TGGCAGTGACCAGAGGCCGAGCTACAGCCACTCAATATCATATTTCTCCCAAGGGTAAATGGCAGGGCGGTCTCGAATCTGTCAATCTGACTTCATTCGCTCAGGCCAGCGGGACGGTAGCGAATAGGTATACAGTCCAGCTGTGAAAGCCTGTGTGCGGCGGCTATTGGTTGCTCTCGCGCCTACAGGAGCTGGAGCGCGCACCTGTCCTGTTGGGCGTTCATATCATATTTTCATGGAAAACACAGGTGGTGAGAGAAGATATGTCCTTCACCGAACCATTGCTACATCCTCCACCAGAAATCGTTAATGCTTACGATCAGATCTGTCATACTCATTTGACATAGAGTATACGCTCAAGTCACTATGGAAAAATGAACCACATGCTTTTGGTTGTATCCACGGTCGTGTTCTCTGTGACTCAATGTCACAGCAAAAACGTTTCTTTTCAGATGCGAACACATCTAGAGTTTATTTAGCCATCGTCGACGTCAAGCTTTTCTCATATGAAAGTCAAGAGTCTCAGTTATCATACCTTCTGTTCGGAGGTCATATCACGCCAAGCCCAACTGTATGTATATTTTCCACAGACGAACATGAAAGTGCGCTAATCCACCGTCACTCAACGACTTTCACGCAGATCAGACGCTCGAGCTACGTCGCGGCTACACAGCAGTACGATACTTCATTAGACGACACCCGAGGAGGTAATATCCTTATAGATCGCCAGTGATGGTCGGATCTCATAGGATTACGCTATGGCGAAGAGAATACTTTAATTTTCTATGCATCCGAAGATCTTGCAGCCTTCCTCCCGCTCCTCGTTAGCTTTGTAGAAACCCATGTCCTCCCAATTGACTTGTGTCGCTTGCCGGACTGATCCGATGGTGTTCGCCGGGACTAGAAGGTGGCTGAGCTTGACCACATAGTTGCACGGGTACAGTCTGCCAGACCGCCGATACCCACTTGACTAATGCCTTCATTAGGCTTATTCAAAATTTACTGATCCATTCTAGTGTTTTTGATTGTACTGCATCCTCCCGAAAGGCCAAAATGTAGCGCCTTCTGCGTGGGGAGTGCGACTCCGTCCGAGGGCACTGAGCATAAATGGCAACAGTGCCTCAGTATGAAACCACAACCACAAGTACTCGACACTGCGGGCTGTCTAAGCCAAATTCGAATCGTAAGTTTACAGACTATCATCTTGCTCCTTCACTTATGCTGCCCAGGGCACCAACCCCAAGTGCCATACCGTCCAATGTCCTTTCCGTACAGGCAAACACACCGGGCATCATATGGCGTCCCTGGATCTTCCTCGCACCACCCCCAAGACCATCTTCTTGCCCATCTTTATCCTCCTTTGTTCGTACAGATTTTCCCCTCATATGGATCACCGCCGGTCAATCATGGGGACAGACGGATACTAGTACAAGTCCACGCGAAACTCTCCAAGGACAGACCGATTTCGTGGGACCTCTGGCTACCCCTAAGCTTCGCGCTTGACGCTCCCGAAGAGAGGACAAGGTCGATCTACGCTGGACTTTCTCCCTCGCTTCTTGTTGAGCCTGCGACGACACCATCCACAAACCAGCTCACGCTGCACATCCCTGACCTGCAAGGCTGGTGGTCTGTCCCAGTCACACCTCACGAGACACCACATGTCACCACTGGAGACGTTCTGCAATCCCTCTACGACACGTTGCACATCTCCATCACTGCGGAGGAGTGGAGGGAAGTGGAGGACGCTGAGATGGACGGCGAGATTACCGCGTCGTTTATCGACAGAGTTAGAGCGTGTGCGACTCCGGGAGCGCAGTTTCAGTCGATCTTTCGAGACGGCAAAAAGCGTATAGATCTCCTCACGAAGAACCACTTCTTCTACGGGCTTGAGGTGGTCAACCCAAGGAACGTGGACGACATAGAGCTGCGTTTGCAAGTCCCATGATATGAGCGACCCGAGTTGGACGGATTGACCCACGATGCAAGTGTTCCGTAGATTTTGTATGTCTTACTTACCACAATCGGCTGTACTTTACAAGTTCCTCACAATGAACTCGGCGATAAATTGCTCTTTCGTCTAAGAACCTCATGCAAGGGGACACCATGGGGACGCATCGGTAAGGTGCGTACGCACTGTAAGTTCCTTTTGGATATGATTTCTCAGCCAGATATTTCAATCGTTTGCGAAGTCCATTCTCGTCTTCATTGGCTTTGTATGTTATGTGGCGCTTAATATCCAATAGGTGTAAGAGGCATGAGCCGATAGTCAAAATACACATGACAGACGCTGCGCTAGTCTACTAGTAGCGAACAAGTTGCTCTTAAATATCGTCAACTTTAGTATCGTCAATGTGGTGATCATTCGGAAGAAAAAAGGCATGAGCGCACATGTAGGGGAAAAATAGACGCACATGATGAAGGGGTCGAGGAACCGGGGAGAATCTCCCAGTTGTTCTTTGAATTCGCTTGAGCATCAAGCTAGGATTATCATAGTATCGAGCATATTATACACGCTGGATGGCCAAGGTGCACAACGCATTCCCAAACGCGCGCAGAAAAAATAGAGAGCCAATGCATTACTAGCAAATTAGTACGTCGGAAGTGCTGCGGCAGAAACTTAGTTTGCATCGACAATCCGAATCTGGGTAGTTTACCTCTATTGTGACCTGTTAGATTCTAAGGGTAATGCCAAACAACCACCTTCCAAGTTGGGACATCCAAACTCAAATAGTAGTATAGCACATCTGCTAATTAACGAGTGCCATTTGATGACTCATGTTACATGTTTTTTAAAGTTCGTGTATGCTGTTCGGAATGTCGAGCTTGGAAACGGTGTACTACATTTATACGGCAGAAATACGCCGATAGATTAAAAATATGAACACAGGATAGAGCAACAGACACTACGGGAGAACGCATTAGACTTCAAAAGACTGGACGTACACGCTGCGTGAGACTAATTACAAAGAAATTATAAATGCCGTGATTTGATGACCAGTTCAGAAGATGAATGTGTCTCGTGCATGATCACCACTACGCGCTAATAGCCCCAGATTGAAGAGCTTGGTCAATCTCTTCCACAGTATGGTCCCACAAGCGCCGTCGCGCCTCGTCAGAACCGTAATATCGTTTCTGACCCATGTTATCTCCCTTGTTGTCGCGACGATGTACACCGGGGCCTGCATCGAGAAGTCCGTATAACATATACTCCGCACAGTCTGACGCAGGTGTCATAAATGGATAGAGAACGAATGCGACGAGACTGCCAAGAAGGGGAGTCCGGACGACACCCGGATGGATGTGGATGAAAGACAGATCCGGCTGCTGCTCCGCGAACGACTACGGCAACGATTCAGATCAGCACACATTCGGATTCGAAGGGGGAAAACTAGATGCATACCTCAAACATGAGATCGTTGTACGTCGGTGTGACCAAAGCTGAGCTGAGTGGGGTATAGCTCTTCCTCATGCCGAGGTCATCAAGGTCAATATCGGAGCCATTACCGGGCGCAAGGACGGACATAACCTTCGCGTCCTCTCCCGCGTCCTTCGTCTTGCGCAGAAGAGGGATCAAGTCGTTCGTGAACTTCCAGCGCGCGTAGTAGTGTAGCGCAAGTTTTCTGTCAATGCCCTCGGTAGTTTCATTTCGCCCCCTGAGTGTGAAGATCCCGGGTGAGAGGACGAGATAGTTAAGCTTCGGGAGGCGAGCGAGCAACGCGGACGTCGTCAAGAAGACGTTCTTCATCAGTGTCGCGTCGCATTCGACGAACTCGTGCTTGGCCTCGGGTGCCGTTGCCTGCGGGAAGGACGCGATGATCTTGTCAGCAGCAGACTTGTTGCGCCCGCAAATTATAATATGCGCGTTGCCCTTGGTGTAGCGAGCGAAGGCCTCGGCGACGGCTTGTCCGATGCCAGACGTTCCTCCGACAAAGACGGCGACTGGAAGGCGGGAAGGCGAATACCTAGCATTGGAGGCGCGCGCAGCATAGAGGGAGGGCATGATGAAGCTAGAGCTAGAATCGCACCAACGAGATGCGTTTCGGCACGCCGCTCAAGCGGCAGCCAGTTGCACGTGAACGAGGTGTACCCTCAGATCGCCCCGAGATCGCGCCTCAGCCCGCCCGAGCACCGAGCCTCGAGGACACCCAGACTGGCCGAGCACCGCCAGCAAAGGACAGGCTCACCGGGACTTGTGGTTGAAGACTGCAATAGATGCTCCACCACAACAGACACTAGGGGCGGTAGGCTACAGTGTTACGAAGCTTTGCCAGAGGTACCGGTGGGGGTGGTACGGGTTTCCCCCATGTGGGTGCAAGCGGCGGAGAACGGGGACCCAAGATCATAGGCCGCTGTGAAGATGTTGGTTTTTGACTAGTCGTTTTATGTCATAAAGCTTGAAGCATGCATTTATTCCGTCTCGGACTGTTGCCAGTAGGGGCAGTTGGGAACGTGTACCGACTACGCGTTCACAAGACTACTGTCGAATCGAGCAGAGCGGCCTTGTTTTCTCGACGCTATATACCTCCGATCCGACTTGCTGCTAGCCTGCAGCACAATTGGCACTGTTGCGTTCTGTGAAATGGAGCACTGCCATCGCGATATTTGGGCAGTAGTACGTATACTCGGAGGATGCCGCGAGGTTCAGCCAGACTGAATTGACCGCCGCAAGCACTGTACCGATACTACACGCCTTCATCAGGACCCCTCGCAGCCAGACTTTTCTCGGGCGCACCTCTTGTACTCTCGCTGTCTGAAACGTTGTTGTGATGGGTCGCATCCGCAATGTAGTCAAGCGCCGTGCTAGGCATTGATGATGATCTGTAGTGATGCGGAGTCAAAACATAAGGACGCTCGGAGGACCTGTCATCGACACCCGCACCGCCTGCAGCCCCGTGAAGTAGGCTTGTACCGAGAAAAGCGGTCCCGGCCTCGTGTGTGCTCAGCCCCCACTATAGGTATAAGGTCGATTTCCCTCCCTTGGCTGCTGGTCTATCTCCATTTCTCCCTCACCGTCCGCGACGACGACTATGGCAAACAAGAACATTCGTCGTCGGTCCGCTTCCCAGAAGCCCAGGCGGAAGGCCCTGGTCATTGGTATCAACTATGATACCAAGGGCTCCGACGACACCTCTGGCTACAGCGCTCTCCATGGTCCCCGCAGCGATGCGATCTCATTCGCCAACCTCCTTATCAGTAAGAGACCGTCCTATCAATGGCTTGTCGCAGTATCTCACACCGCGTTCAGACAAATACAACTATAAGAGAGAGGATGTGGTGATCATGTTAGACGGCCAGGGTCCGGAGTTGAGCCATCTCGCCCCGACGAGGCGCAACATGGTGCGTTGCGCTCCCCTCATCGGGTGTCCTTCTTCGCTAATCGAAGCCACTAGTTGCGCGAGATCAACAATCTCGTTCGTGGTGCTCGTCGTGGGGACCGCTTTGTGTTCCTCTGTGAGCGACCTAGCTACCCATGTCAGACTGGTCCTGACGCGTCGAATTGCAGATTCTGGACACTCTGACCAGATTCCATGTTTGGAACACAGCGAGGAAGATGACTTGGACGAAGGTATGCGCCATACTTCGATCCCACTGTATATCCGCTCATTGTACGTATTGTCCGCAGTCATCCTTCCGATGGACCATGAAGGTTTGGAGAAGAAGGAGAAACTCATTGTGGATAATGTATGTGCATAAACTTAGTATATATGCGCTATGCTGAAGTTGCATGGCCGCAGGATCTGCGTCGGCTGCTTGTTGATCCCCTCCCTGCTGGCGCCCATCTCACCGTATGTTGATGTGTACGTGTGTTTTCAATCTTGATGCTCACCAGAAAGCTGTGCAGGCTATCTTTGACTCTTGTCACTCCGGTACTCTTTTGGGTGGGTGTGATCTTATCAGGAGGCCTCTGTATTCCCGGTGGTGCTGATGTGAGTTTATCTGTGTGTCCAGATCTTGACCACTATGCGTGTAACAACGTGTATCATCCGTGGATATCTAAGGGGTTTCGGAGAGTGAAGACAATGTGGAGGAATAATGGTGCGTACTCGCTTGTAGTTCCTTGATCAGCGTCCTGATCCAACCCACAGTACGGCAGAATGCGACTTGTACGTCCCTTCCGCCATCGCACACTCTTGCACATTCTGATTCTGTCGCTGGCACAGTGCATCAACAATCGCTCAGTACGTGGTTCTTTCAACGCTCAAGGTTCTTCTCAGCTAAGGATAGCTAAGGTGCGACTAGCACCAAGCTACACAGCGACTCGCTAGCATTCCCCATCCTGAGTACTCTCTTCCCAAGCCGTACCTCTAGCAGCTCGAAAGAAGTCAAGAAGGCTGCGTCTGTCCGCCGTGTCTCGACATCCCCTACCGCATCTCCGGTATTCCCACGTCGGCCACGGAGTTTATCTGTCAAGATGCTTGCCCGCGCAGCGACATCTCTCGAGTTTGCCACTCCAAAGTCATGCGCGCCTTCGGCTCCTCAATCTGCATCGGTGGCTTCGACAGGGTTGGCGTCACCCGTTGCGATGAGCAACTCCGCTCTGACGAAGAAACAGTCGAAGACTGTCCTGGGCCGTCTGAAGACGACACTGATGGACGATCTCATCCCGCGATGCATGTCTCCTGTGTCGACGATGCGGACATGCGATGGCTTCTGCAAGCGCGAGCCAGCTGACAAGCCATATGTGGTAGGTTGTTTCGTACGTGTCCTAGTGGACGTGGTTGGTATTAACATTGTTTGGCGTCCAGATATCCCTCGCCGCGTGCACGGACCGGCAGCTCGAGTGGGAGGATAGGAAGGGACATACAATGATACAGGTATGTAGCCTACTAGATATTATCGCATATTCGCTCATGACGCCCCCTTGACTAGGCGCTCGTTCACTACCTAGAGCAGAACCCGCATACGACAATCAAGGATATGATAACATACATCAGGTACGTTCATCAAGCTGTAGTGAATAGTGTATGGATCTGATGCTCTGGCAGCTATCGTCGTTATACCATTTCGCGCAAGATTCATGACCTTGGGAGGAAGAAGCTCAACGATCGGAAAAAGGCTCAGGCAGTCAACGCCAACAAAGCAGAGCTTGATGGCGAGGAGCTGTGCTATGATCTTGTGAATTTCATGGATCCTCAGGTCAGTTTTCATTACTGTGCGCTTGATGGCTCGGTGTTGAGATATTTGGCTTGCGCAGCTTGGTAGTCAGGAGAAATTGGTATGTTGCTTTACTGGTTTGCCTATATGTTTACTCAAGTCTTGTGGTATCTGCAGGATATGGACGCCGTCTTCACGCTCTGAAACCATATGGATAAGACAAACTTTTCATGCATATACCTTACCTCCCTCGTTTCCTTAATAAGAGTTTGGCACTGTATATATCTTCCTATTGTCTCGTTTACAGACTCGACTCGACTCGCATCGTTCATACTGACATAATATGCATTACTGACATTATCTCGTTCCTGCTGCCTTCCTTACCACATTTGTATCGTGCAATCTTCTTGGATTCCAGCTTGAAAGCTGGAGTTTGCTCTTGCTGTATGTGTTTGATAATTTTTGTGTAGTAGCAGTTTAGTAGTGAATACATTTGTATAATGGTTACTTTGCGTAGACTGCACTTGGAAGTGCCAAAGTGCGTGTACTTGCTTTAGCTTTGGGTATGCTCAATGTCTCTGCGTTATTTGTAACGGTTTCTACTGGTATACATATACTTACTACACGATGTGCCTACTTGTCTACGTAGGGCTCAACGCTCGCAGACAACAAAGGGGTTCAAAAAAGTAAGAAAGCTTTGTCCCGAACTGCCTCTTGTCCAAAGCTGCTGCTTATACCTAGATGTGGTCTCTGACAGACATAAGTGCGTTCTGAAGTCGGTGTGCTCCGAGGAAACGCCGTCTGCTGCTGTGGAGATACTAACGAACGCCACTATCATTGAATGCCTGTCTCTCATGCTGGACTAGAATGGACTGGATTTATCAGCTGCAATACCTAAGCTGTTATCGGAGTCTCCTGTGCGCGCTCTACCAAGTGTTTAAGGCTGTCATTCGAGCTTCAGGCCCCTAAGAACTTCCAGATGCCTTCCCTTGATACCACCAAAGCCGCCAACGCAAAGTACGCACCCTCCAGGGTTCCAGTCGCCATCTTCGTAGGCGGGACGTCCGGCATCGGGCAAGCCACCGCCGAGGCTTTCGCTCGCCACACGAGGGGTAACGCGCATATCATACTATGTGGGCGAAATAGGGTCGCCGCCGAGCAAATCATCGCGTCCTTCCCCACACCCTCCGTGCCCGACGCGAAGCACGAGTTCGTCGAATGCGACGTCTCCTTAATGAAGAACATTGACGAGACGACCGCTGGCCTTCTCAACAGTCTTGGGAAGGTCAACTTTCTGATCCTCTCTGCTGGTATTTTCACCCTCAAGGGCAGAAACGAAACCGCCGAGGGCATCGACAGGAAGCTCGCGCTGGGCTACTATGCGCGATGGAAATTCACGCGTGATCTGATGCCACTATTGCGCAAGGCGAAGGACACCGGAGAGGACGCGAAAGTCATATCCGTTCTCGCTGCCGGCCACGGCTCGGACATTGACCTGGATGACCTTGGCTTGAAGAAGAACTATACCGGTGTGAGCTCGATGAGGGCCGCGCCGACATACAACGACCTCATGTTCGAAGTACGTCGTGTCCGCTCCGTTATGTCGGGTCTGCTTGGAGGCTAACCTTACATATGCCAAGTCTTTCGCAGAGCAACAGCCAGACTTATCATTCGTCCACATTTTTCCTGGCATTGTTCGCACTCCGCTGCTCGGCACCTTCTTCTCACTTGTGCTGTACCCCTTCACCACCTCTGTCTCGGACTGTGCAGAGCACGTGCTCTACGCTTTGCTCAGTGCCAACGCTGGTGCGCATCGCTGCGACAATAAGGGGGACGACCTAGGTAAGAAGTATTATTATGGCTCGGACGAAGCGAGGGAGCGGCTGTGGAAGCACACTGAGCAGGAAGTTGATCACGCAGTGAATTCGGGCAAACATACGTAGTATTTGTTTTCATGCGGCCGGTTATCGTGTTCGGAATCATCTTCTGTAGCCTTTTATCAATGTTCAATTATGTATTCTTTGATGTACAATATGAAGTGGGTCGTTAGGCAGTCGGACTTGATGGTACTAATGCGGAAGGTGGTTGTTTGGCATCGGCTTCTGATACTAACAGCACATAACATGCCCAAACTCCTTGAGATCCTGACTCCCTGAGTCTTGTTCGATTGTTGATCGTCTCTTCGACACGCTGGTTCAATAGTGCGGCCGGTGGTCTTACTTTCATAGTCTTTCTCTCTTAAGGAGCCAAGGATGTCGGACACACGTACCACTCACTTCAAAAGTCTTTAGCAGCCGAGGACGCGTCACACGAGCGGCAGGCACTGCGATCTCCGCCCTATGTACCGATGCCGACGCACAACGCGTACATGAACTCCTAGCACTATATATTCCGACCCTATTGACATGGAGCTATGAATCAAAATGCCTTCTCTCTCCATCGCTCGCGCTGCCAATGCAAAGTTCGCACCTTCTTATCTTCCGGTCGCTGTCTTCGTCGGCGGAACGTCTGGTATAGGACAAGGCGTAGCCGAGGCTTTCGCTCGCCATACCAAAGGCAATGCGCACATCATCCTCTGTGGGCGTAACAAGTCTGCCGCCGAGAGCATCATCGCGTCTTTCCCCCGTCCAACTGCCCCGGAGGCCAAGCATGAATTTATCCAGTGCGATGCAACACTAATGAAGAACGTTGGAGCTACCACATCCTCACTCCTCTCCCGCCTCGCGAAGATTAACTTCCTCGTGCTCACCCCCGGTATCATGACGCTCAGGGGCCGAGACGAAACTCCAGAGGGCATCGATAAGAAGCTCGCGCTGCACTACTATGCACGCTGGAAATTTACGCAAGACCTCATCCCATTGCTGCGTAAGGCGAAGGAGGCGGGGGAGGACGCGAAAGCGATGACAATTCTCGCTGCTGGCGTCTCGGGCAAGATTGACTTCGATGATTTGGCACTCAGGAAACACTACAGCGTCTCTGCGGCGGCAAAGGCAGCTCCAATATACAACGATCTCATGATTGAGGTATGCGCGTTTTAATCTCACATGCTCGCATTTTTAATTATTTGGTGTAGTCATTCGCAGAGCAACATCCGGACCTCTCGTTCGTCCACGCTTCTCCTGGCATTGTCCGCACGCCGCTCGCTGGGTCCATTGTTCAGGTGTTGGCCTATCCTTTCGCAGTCTCCGCGGAAGAATGTGGAGAATACATGCTGCATGCCATTTTCAATGCTGAGTCGGGTGCACATTTGCGCAACGGCAAAGGAGACGTTATAAAGCAGAAAGGATATTGTGGACCAGAGGATGCACGGAAACAATTGTGGGAGCACACCGTCAAAGAGGTCGAGGTTTCTGCTTGAGTTACGAGATTCTATTACTTTATTAGTGGTGAGATCTGTGCATATATCCTGTTGGATGCTGGGTGAATAATTATGACCGTAATAGTGCACTTAGTTGTTCATTTACATGGCTTCAATCCCTGGTGACCAACTTGTGTTGGCGACTGACGGCGTTTGGTTACACCTAGATTAAATCGCTCGAAGATGAAGAGTGAATGTAATTACTCTTTGCGGAGGGTTTGACCAAAAGCGGACAGTGTTTGTTTGGTAATACCTTCGGAATCTAACAGAGTACAACAGCAACAAAGCGTGCCGCCAACTGGAATGTCGAATCAACAACTATTCGACGGGCTCCATTAATGTCTGAATTCCTTTGGAAGTTGTTCCTCGGCAATGCTGGTGGCACGGAGGACGTGTCGCACAAGCGGCCAGAGTCCTCACGGCTGTTGACATGACAATAGTGTCTTGCTATGAAGCTTGTCACCAAGCCATTGTATAGCTGCCATTTTTTCACTCGCTATGTGTTTCTGTCGATGCACACTCTCACTGTTGCTCGCTCCCTTACGCGCGGCAGAAGTCTGTGTGTGAATTGATGCTTCTACAGTGCCTCAGGGAGGTTTGCGACTGTTCTCACCCCTGGTAAAAACGGCAACCATCATCTCAATGGTATGGGACTGAAGAGGTGATCCGATAGCATCCAGAAGTCGCTGCGGGAGCATACGGTAAATCTGTCGAGGTCTCAGCTTATTTGGCATCATACCTTCTATCACGATCTGGACTTATGACAGGAAATCTTGAGTGGGCGGGCGCCGGGCCCGAGTAAGTGGTCGCACGCTGGGTTCGAAGGTCTTACTACCAAATACAAACTTCCTTGGTCTAGGTGAGTCTGTGCATTTCAGGTTTTGTAGCGAATATCACATTTGTGCAGATTATAGTACCTATGTCTCCGTACGTAGGAGCCGAGAATACAAAAATTTCTACGATGACAGGAGATAATATTGCGCACTGTCGACAATATGCATGATGTAGAATGATGCTACTCTCGTCCAGGGACCGTCTCAAGGGTTCAACTTTCGACCGTCAGCCTGTTTAAGATATACCAGTGTAAAGGTTCGCGGGTTTAATTTATTATTGTCGTCCTGGCGGTTGGTTGCCTGTAGTCCGCAAGGCATTCGCTAAAAGTACTTCGCAGAAAGATTTCTTGGTAATATCTTGGTTTGGAACCGCGTATTTCCTATTAGATTCGCGATTCGTTCTTTTGAATGCGACAATCTCGCGGTTGGTGTACCTTATTTTCTCATTTCATGTCTTGGGGAGCTGATCACGCATATCAATTTGAACACAAAGGCGACTAGAGCACAGACCTTAGTACCGTATACCAGTCGGCATGTACCACAAGCCAATTGCTGAAAGACTATAACTCCTGTATGAGTCATTCTCCCTAGAAGGATATCTCATTGCTAATGTCAATAATCCGCAAAGTTTAACGCTTGTCGCGATACATCCGGGGCATCCGGCCATCGCATTGGAACCCTCGTGCTTCATCGCACAAGTATTTAACGGACATCAAACGATCATTGATGTCAAGCAATGGCCCTTGCAAAAAAAAGTAAAACAGAATTAAGCTAACAACTTAGACTAGTGGACGGTCTCGTCAACAGCTATCAAATGACATCTAGTGTCTCACACTCGCTATCCGATGAATTATCGGTACCAACATGGCCACTTCACCCGTTACGCAACAATTACTATCAGGGGGGTGGTCCTGGTCGTGGCCAGGTGTGGTGTGCGGTAGTGAAGGCTAAGTATCACCGCACGCCTATGCAATCTGGCCGAGGTCCGGGGATATCTTCTCCAGATTTAGAACCACGCTGCAGTGCTTCTGGCCGCGATATCGCTCTTGTCCAAAAATGTCTGCTCTGTAACTTTTGCCCCGGTTAGAAGAAGCGTGCTCGTGCGTCTATTATAAAACCCCGCACATGCGCTCACCCTTTGCCAGCTCATATAAACACTAGGTTCCAGCAAGCGTATCTGCAGTACAGAGTCCCTGAGCAGGCTTGTAATCGATTGTGAACTCGAGCTTCCGAGATACCTGCGTCTACAGGCACTGATATCACGGGTAGAAAGGTCCTCGAAGATCCGTCCGTTCCACCTGACTGACTTAACGATCCGTGCAGAGCGCGTTTTTTTGGTTTCAGGGTGTATTATATCCGTCGCGCTGATTTCATTCAACCGTCATTCAAATTTTCACACATGCTTGTGAAGTCCCGTCGCTGTGCGTGGCATGTCTTCGCCTCGGAGTCAATTGAACTAATCAAAGTCCCCAAGGAGGACACAATATCTTTATCACTGACAAGTTTAGGGGCTGTTTCATGTATGTCTCTCCACTGCCAAATACACATCTAAGCTCATGCCTTGCCGAGCTACTGCAAAACGGCTACAGTCGCAGCTATAGCATTGCACAAGCTGCAGACTAGTAGCTATACCGTGGGCGGTGAGTCTTTATCACTCATAGCCCCGCTGATTGGATACGTATTGTGTCCGATAGTTGTCGAAGTCTTCCAAGACGCTTCTATCCCTGGTGATCCTGCAATGTGCCTCGTGGCCGTCTAGAAATCAAGTTGACGCGCACCTCAACACCTGACTGACGATGTCCTCATTTTGAGGAGTGCATGTCTCTTGCTTGGAGCACGGCTCCCGCCAGCGTCTAAATGATAAAATTCCTCCTGGCTTACTCATGACAGTCTTCCTTGTATGTGTGGCTCGATCAACGCGTGTGGAAGCTCTTGCTTTCTTCCGCTGCGCGCATCGTAGGTATAGACCGAATACCCCATGCCGCTGATAAAGGTTGAATCAGCGCTGTGCAGGAAGCCTTCTCGAATTTCTATCGATTCATAGATGGCGGATAGGGTTGATATTGTGCTGCAGAATCGTAGAATCACCGCTCGGTGCCGAATTTCAGATGTGAGTTAAGTCTTTACCGCTCGACGAGTTCGTCGTCTGACCATAAGTCAATCAAAACGTCAACAAGTATGTATACACAAGCTGATTAAAGTACAAGTCCGCAGGCAGATAACCATACTCCGAAGAACTCTGCTCATATCACCCTCTCCCAAGCTCGACTTGGCTCTTAATCAATGCGGAACTCCGACACCCGGTGATCGTAGTATGGGCTGGAGGCCCTGAATTCACCGCGACGGGTCGCTGCGCAAAGGTCACGATGGGTTATCTGCCTGATTTTGCGCCGCGCTAATGAGGTATCAGGTCTGCTTCTCAGTAAATTGTTGCGAACAGCTTACACAGGCACATAGGTACATGGAATTCCTCGACGACTGCAATTGCCACAGGTTTTCCGGCCATCACATTTCAGCTTTCGTCCTATAGGGGTTTCAGCCTTTATCAGACTCGCTACAGTGACCGAGCAGCGAGAGCGAACGCGACCTCTACAAAACTGACATGCCATTGGCGTTCGTCGTGGAACCCTGGTCTCTGTGGGTGTCTCAGAGCCGGTCTGAGACTGATCGGACTGTGGGCGAAAGTAAGTCAGCCCCTAATCATAATAGAAGGCATTGGGACATCACATTGGTCGAGGTGCTCATTCCTGAGGTCTGAAGGGTATGATGAACATTTCACAGTACGTGCACTGCTTATATGCTGCGGCAAGCGCTATCAACGGGAGGATATGGTCACGCAGGTACTAGCCCAGCGGCACAAGAGGAGAGTCTTGGTGTATAAGACGCATACGTTCGGATCACGACCTGCCCTTGCGGCTGGATGATACATACCGGGATCAAGGCAACTCTTGCCTCCAATGAAGAGATATCGCCTTCCGCTTTGCGTGGGCGCCTTTCATGTGTTGTGCTCGGACATTAACAATTTGCTGAGTGTACAAGGTGAGCGCTCCAGCAATTCAGTGACTATGTACCGAAATGAGTCAGTTGAAAGCGCCAGCAGAGCATATGCGGCATATGGAGTGGTACGACCCATTCCTGGACGACGCAGGTCTTCTAGCGTGTGGTTCATGCATCCGTTAGCCAAGGTCCTGCGGCATCAGATCCTGTGCTTGATTCAACAATCATTCATACCAAGCCTTATCCCGGTTGCACCGCCGCGGAGTGTGTTAGACTGCATGTTCTGTGAAAGCTTGAACCATTGACATCTCGGTGATTGCTTGACGTGTCGCGTGACAGGATCTTGGGAGCCCTGTTCCGTGCCCTGTCTCTTGCGAGCACCATGTCACTTCCAAATCGGAAAAGCGTACTCACCTTCAAGTTGATGTTGCGCCACAAGGCGATTTATATCTCCGTCTGATAATCCGATTATCTCCAACCCGATGCCATCAGCGTAAACTGCCCAATGTTTGTGACGTTCGTGAAAAAGACCCTGCAGCTCTTTGGTGACCGCGCAACACTGCTCTGTTAGTGCACAGCCTTATCTAGTGTATTCATCCACACTCATCTATTCCATCAGAGATGGAACATTTGTCAGGAATGCGCAGCACGGTGGCGCAAGCCTCCACTGACGACAAGACTGTGGATCAACAACTTCAGTTCACAGGGAGACATTCTCCTGCGTCCGATTTTTTGTACGAAGAATGAGGTATATAGCAACTGTTGTTGATGGCACACTGTGTGCGTCCGTCACGCAGCTAGTTGTCTGGCTCATGATGTGCACTGCAACGCAACGCCTCTGATCTGGGAATCAAACTCACTGGGCCGCGACCGACTGTAAAGGCAACTCCAGCTGATAAACTTAGCCTCCTCCTTCAGCACCTGCACAAATACAGATACCGCGGCTTGATGGAGCCTGTGATCAATCTTCCCGATAGTCTATGCCCATCAGTCATATTTGGGGCTTACATCATCTATTAGCCATTAGCGAGATAAAGATTGGATGCTAACCTCATGCTTTCGCTCTATACGGACTGCCCCGGTATCAAGACTACTCGTCACGACTTTCTGCCAAGACAATCTGAACCTGCGTGGACAAGCTCCGTCGTCGATAGGGCAGGAATAACGCCTGATCCATAAGGACACTGGCAATCGCAGTGGTCATCACGCGAAGAGTTTTCGAGCATGGCCGGTCTATTGGCTAAAGGTAACTGGCGTCCAGTTGTGAGAAAGATCTCATATCAGACCTGGCTCCGGACTATGGTTACTGGAGTACCAAGCAATGTGGGTGCGGATTTTGGTCCATAAGTTTCGGAAAGTGAATTTGAATCAATTATCTCATTAGAACTCTTCAAAAAGGACGATGCAGTTGACTTTAAGCAATGCATGCGACCCCTTCTCAGATTCACAATGCCTGACCCCATGTAATTAGTTCAAAGTCATTTATCGCCAACAATTCTTCGGCATTGTGACCAAGAGAAATTCGCTGCACTGGCAAGGTGATCACAAAAAAGCCTGGATGCTACAAGTGTAATCGGTGTTGGAACAATCAAGATTGAGGAGAGACTAAGACAGAAATGGATTCAATGCAAGAATCCAAACGGGGAGAAAAGACGCTGACACAAGGGTTTACGCTGGTTTCTTCGAGTCATTAGCTAACTAGGCGCTCATGTCCGCGGAGCAAGCGTCTTATTCCTATGCAACGCCGGCGACGCCACGCTCAGGGTAAATAATATTTGTAAGTACACTGGTTCATTGACTCTATCAAATATCCATATCTTTGCAGGCAGTTTGAAGCTCTCACAATTGCAGAGCAACATCCATTCAAGGGGCTCTCGAGTTAGTATTTATTGCTCGCTTTTCTCACGGTGGACCCACAGAGCATCACAAGTGAGCCTGTCCCTGGCGATGATTGACATGTCATTGTACTGAATTTGTATTGTACTCTCTCTCCGGGTCTTCCTTGTCTCGCTCTGAACAAGACTTACAGAAGAAACACAAAAAAGTCTCCAAGCAACCTGATGTCGGCCGTGCACATTTCGGCTAGTTCGACAGCGGCAACTCGTCTGGTGGTTACTGATCGTATTTCACCCAGTACAAGGAGCATGTTGAGGTAAGTCCAGTCATATAAATTGAGGGAGAGTGCTCGACTCACTTCCAGCCCCTTCCCCCCCGATAACATTGTCTTGTCAAATCAAGGCTCTACGTCTCCGGCTCACACTTGGTATGTTTGAAAGCTTGAAGTGCATACCAGCTGATTGACTGTATATCGCTTCCAAGTTTGACCACAGGCATTGACTGCCCTCATCTCTCCCTCACTTAATTTACGAACTCAGATTCTGGGACCGACGTATTAGGATCTCCAACGCCCAACAATAATTCTATCATAATCTCTGCACTATGTCCCATTCTCCTCATCATCGTCGAAGTACTCCTTCTCACGGTATTCTGCGCGGGTCCTCCACCCCAGGACACGTACCTCTTCCGCCTGGGACGAGTGGTGCGGGCTCGGGTGCAACTCGTACGTAAGAGTTTATTGTTCAAGTTTTCCGTGGCTGACGAATTGCTGCAGTGAGCCCCAATTGGAGTCGAGCACACACGCCACGCAATCCATATCCAACGCCTCCTCGCTCTCCAGCACGATCGTTGCATGGCTCTCCTCGAGGCTCTCCCGGCTCGCCCGCTACAAACTTGCCGGGAGACGGTGGTGCTCAGATGTATTATGTAAGCTGCGACTCCATTGTGCTTATTGTCGTGATTGCTAAAACGCATAAAGCAATGTGTTCAAACCCCAGTATATCAGCCAGCCGGCGTCTTGGGTACTCCTGTCGTAGGATATATGCCTATGACAACACCGATGCAAATGTCCGTATCCGTGCCTACGATACCCTCGTTACCAGGAATGGTCGGCACACCCATGATCACTACGTCCATGATCAACACTCCCGTCATCGGCACACCTGTTGTCAGCGCATCCTACGTTACTGCCGTTCCTGCAATGGTCGGGGCACCTTCGTCGCGTCCCGTGATTACTCCTTCGCCCTCGGGATGGGTACCACATCCATTCCCCCATCCCACTACTCCTTGTAATGCATTCTGGGCTACCAATATCCTCACGGACCCCGACTCTCGGACATATCCGACATTTAACGACGCCGCGGTTTCTGGCTTGTCTGGCGGATGGCCGTTACCTGGCCGAGCACCATCGAATTGGTCCGCTGTATGGCCTCCAACAGCTGGAACCATGACTTGGTCCCCCTCGTCGATCATTATGTGCCCATGGCTCATTCCAAACCCCGACAACGCCGACAATCTGCAGCTCAAATGGGACATCACCCAGAACCCAAGCACCTCTAAGCGCGTGTCCGCCCGCGGCACCGTCAGCGATTTCAGTTCCAAGTTCAACGAGCCGGCGACTTACCCGCTCACGGAGACCGTGCACATTCACTGCGAGATTGGCATCGCAGCCCCGTTATGGGGGCCAATCATAATTGAGAAAGGTCAGACAATAACCGTCGGTGACATCCTCGAAGGGATCTACGACTATTTCCAGACGCTTCTTACCGAGGAAGAAGTTCAGTACATCTCGAGCCTTGATCCAAACAACTACGAGGCGATGAGCGCCGCGTGCTACCAGCGGTCAATGCGTTCTTACTCTCTTCCGGGTTACGAATTGAGCCAAGGTCTCAAGCGGGCGGATTGCTTCGGAGGCGGTACCACATTCTGGGGCTTATGGATTGCTTATAATTGCGACAACACGTGGCAAATGAACCTCGGTCTTGTACCAAACTCCACGGGCTCGTAGCAACCACAGCTCTCTGTTCTCGCTCGATGCTGTGCTTTGTGTCGCTTGTTAAAGAACATCTTTCCATGCCGTCGTCGCTATTTTATTAGGTCCTGAACTATTTTGGACCTCCATTGTGGATATGTCTCTTATGTTTTGCACGCGAGCCTCTTGATGATGTATTATAACGCACTTATGACTTGTATTACGACATTAGAACGATTGTTTGCCAAAAGGAAGATACTGTTGGCTTAATTGTGAGATGAGCAATCGGCGTGCATCCGCTTGCATAGATGAGTAGACGGCGCATATACCCCTTATTAATAAATATTGAATGACTTTACCCTCATGAATGAAGCATGGAATCTTGGATTTATGGTAAACAACAGAAATTCATCACAGCGAATATATTCCATCTTCCCTTTACATAATGTCCTTTCATACAATTGATATCAATGTCCTTGAAAACTAGACTAGACCCTATTTCTTACTATGTCATCTGAATCACAATCAACAGGCAATATATGACACTGAAGACATTCGCACCGACTCTGCGATGCTATATAAATCAAAATTAAAACGGCGGTCTGTGAAGGCCGATGTGGTTCATGTGCCACGACGAACAGACTTAGAACCAGTGAGATCGAAATTGAAATTCGCTGTGGAGACAAAGGGGGCTCCGGTCAGTAGAGGCGCCCGAGGTGACCATTGACTGAAACGGATTTATTTCGGTGAGCGCAGATGAATTGCGCGTGCCCTTGAGCGGCGCGCCGGTCGGGGAAAGATAGGGAATCAGCAAATCGGCATTGACGAAGCAAAGCGGGATTCGATCGAACGCGCGCTTGGGCTATTGGACTGATATCCCTATGTGCTCCGGTGAATCAACAATGTTTGAGTAGGATCTAGGTGGACAAATGTAATTCAATGCGCGCTCGGAGAGCGGAGAACGTGAGATGAATAGCTACTCACGGCGGAAAATCGAAAGCGGGAGGTTGTAAACCCAGTGCACCATCTACAAACTCAGGAGGCGGGGGAACATATTCTGAGTATGCTGGCGCTGAAGGTGGAACCATGCCCGATGATACTATCACAGGCAGGGTAAGAGTCACGCTGTTTTGCCATCCACTAAATGGAACACCGATGTGCATGGTATACTGAATACAAACCAGGGATGAGGTTCACCAAATACTATCAGACGGGATTACAAACGCACGCTGATTTCCACACGAGACGACTTGAACGTTGGAGTACACGATAAAAATATTGTCGACGAGAATGTGGTCTGCTGTTTCCACTTCCCCTTCGATGCGTCCGTATCGAGAGGTACCCACTTCTTCGGCAATACGTTCACTTTGACCTCAGTCGCCGAGCGATCCATGCCATCCAAAGGGATATTCTTTTCGTGGAAAATACCAGAGAGGTGTTGACTGACAACATGTACTTCCCTCCTGAGTTCAAAACGTATGTCCTGAGATGTGACTGGCGGAGACGGCCAGATAGGCTTCGCATCAGACGTCTCGCCCCGCTTCGTAGCCTTGCTCGTAGTAGATATCGTTACGGTGAAGGGAATGGCTGTGTATATTGGAAACGCTCTGAGTTGCGGATACTTCATCTGCAATAACAACGTTGGACTAAGCACGCAATTTCTCAAACAGCAAATCCGGCACTAACCTCCACCCGGACATGCGCACGCTCGCCCCAAAGACCTTGGCGAATCTGCTTCTCTTCAACAGCGGAATTCCAAGCGCCATGCCAACCCTCCCGAAGAGCAGATCGTACTCGTGCACTCGTCGGATGTGCCGGGAGCACGACAATCGGTTTCGCGATCCGCTTGTTCATGCGCAAAGTCCCCGGTCGGATACCAATCGCCTCGATCTCATAGCGAACGATGGCAGCATTATTGATGTCATAAAATTCGCAAGATGGAGGAATCTTAGTCGGGAGCAGGATCAAGAACTGCAAGCGGAGGAGATGAGAGTCCGGAGGAGGATAGGCGGCTCCGCGCGTCCAGACAGGGACCTCCAACCGAAGAATATCGACCTCCTCGTTCTCGGAAACAGCCTGGGCACTGGAACTGACGAGACTGGGAGACTGACAGAGTAAGCTGTGGTGTTCTGTGACAACCTCGGGTAGATCGAGCAAACGTACGTGTATATCAGGCCCTTGAGCTTCACACGGACCTCTTCGAGCTGCTCTTCCTGGACAAGGGTGAAGTCTAGCTCGACTTCACCCTCCACAGCACTGCCAGAGACATATGTCTGCTGGGGAATGAACAAGGTAACAGATTCGGGCATCGAACGCTGGGATGCAATGGACTCAAACGTGGTGTCTCTGAAAGCTTATCGCACTAGAAATGTCGGAAACAAGCTTAGCAACGAATATGGCCCAGGAAAAACTAAGGTCGCGTGTGACTGAGACAGCTGGTCGCACGATATACACCCTAGGAGTAACGTTGTCTAGAGGAACCTCCGAGCAAAGCAAATCGTTGTCTCTACCAGTAGTTGATATCATGCCATTCGTATCCAACTTCCGGCATGTATCTACCATCCAGAGGTACATGTATGAAGATGTCGTTGGATTGAGCAGGCTCGAAAAGGACATGGTCATATTCGACTAAAGAGCGAGAACATAACGCGCTCCGAGGCGTATGTACGCGATCCCATTACACCACGATGCTGTCAGGCTAAGTTTCGTCACAACATATACTGCCTTCGGAAGTGCGCTGCTTTCAAGTTTTACGTACAGTTTCAATCACGAGACTACAGCGTGCCTACATAAAAAATCCCATTCAACATTTCTAGGTCATCATCTCCCAAGATGAGTTCACCGCCTCCCACTTCTCGATGGTCGCCAGAGATTTCGCCCAAAATGCTTGGGATACCACGTCTCCCCAGCCCGTCCAGCCCAGTCAAGGTCAAGCAGCATGAGCGAGCTCTCACCAGTCGCAGGATATTCGCGGCATGAGATTGATACCGGAGACATCTCCATTCACAAAGCCCTTAGGATAGAGCTCCAACTTTTGCCGGTCGCTGCATGCATATACTCCCGAAGGTCGGAGACTAGCTTTTAACTGTCATCATCAACCGCATCCATAATTACTTAGTATTTTCCAATCATCAAGGAGATCTTTGAATCCCCACAGCTTCAGAGCAAACCCCGTGCTTGCACATTATTTGTACGTCTCGATAGAATATTGCTCTGCAAACTTGGTGCGTATACGGCAGCTTGCCCATTCCCCGAAGAATACAAGTATGCTATCTTCGCCATCATTGTGCTGATGTGGGTGCGTGAATGTGGCCTCACCTGAGAAATTATTGCCAGCAAGGGTTGTCATCGAAGGATTTGAAGGACGTCGGATATGGGAAGACACGCCAAGGTGTGTAGGAAACGGGAGGTAGAAGCAAATATATATACTTCCGTAGCCTTTATCTTCTACATGTTTTTGCTTCATACATATACCTGTGTTGGCTAATTGGCGATATGAGAATAAAATAACATCAGCGAGAACGTGACATTAAACAACATAACCCATGCGACAGAATACCTTCAGTGGGAATAATAATATTGATGAAAGCCCATTTAGTGGTATCAAAGCAATCCTACATTTTCAGTAGATGGTCCTATATGGCCGCTGTAAGGTTCTCCTACTTGACGGCGATACTCGTAAGGCAGTAGTGATTTGCTTCCAAAAGAGTCTGAAAGCTTTCTTGAGGCCCTTTTGCGGCGGACAGTCGTTCGGCTGCGGCTTACGGGAGATCATCAGCACCACATAAAAGCAGTAGTCAGTCTTACGGACCTTCCAAAGGCAGATGTATTCTGCTGACACTGGAGGTATCCGTTTTAGACCGTGACTGATCGGATCCCCTTCTCAGGAAGTCGTAAACAGCAGACCCCTTCTCGACGGTCACCACACTCATATTATATACGACCTGTTTCTCTGGATTTATACGTATGAACGGTATCATATGTTCCCACGACACGACGGGAAAGCAAACGGAAGGCAACGAGGAGATAGTTGAAGTCCGAATCCAAAGCGACTCGCGCCACATTCCAGTTGCGGATTCATTTTGTGAGCGCCTTTCTGCGCTATGCTTCACCCAACATCTACTATACGACATCGTGTTTGACTCGCTTGCTGGCTGGACACTCACTCGGGAGGATGGATGTGAAAACTGGTTTAGCAACGGCATGCGATCTAACGAGAACACATAGACCCGTTGGGCTGATAGCGCTCCAGAGGGAAGGCATCTCCTAGCAGGACAAGAGGAAAAGGAAAAGCAATTACAGAAGCTGAGCCTTGCAGATTGGCGGTCAGAGCTGAGCGCGCCGAACGTCTGAGGGGGCTGAGAGTGAATGCAATTCAGTTCTGGCACCGCCTGTGGAGAACGTCCGGGTGAAACTTGCCTCTTCGCGCCATCGTTCGCTGCCGACTGGGCGGACGCGCACATACCAACCCCCGAACATTCTCGCAGTCCCCCGCTGCGAGTACTACCTTGCAGACTTCATAGCAGGGGGGCGACGGGTCCACAGGACTCTCCTCTGCTGTATGCCGAGGCGCTTCCTATGCGGGGCGGGCGAAATCCGTGCTTGTCGCGGCGTCTTTAGCGAGATATGAATCCACCGGCAGCGTGTTCGGTCGTAGTCGGACGGGCGCGCAAAAAGCCCCGAGAAACCGAAGGCGGCAAGCACCGCAGGTAACGTGAATGCGTGCATTATCTGCCCATGCAAAAGTGGCGTCTCACGCTCGTCGTGCGTCTGTACAGATTCCGCAGAGAGCGCTGCTACTAGAGGTCCCGTTCTTTCCCGTTCGACAAGGTGATCGTAACCTTGGGAGTGCTGCTTGAGGAAAATGACGCAGAGTTACGCCCGGCGGCTTCTCAGTATACCCAGCCCGGCAGGTACATCGATATGGAGATCTCGTGTGCAGCTCTGTATGAACAAATCTGTCGGCCGCACATGGTATAGAGCGATTAAGTCTCATGGGGACGGGGGCATTGAGGTGAGCCCATTGGGAAGGAGTATAGTTCAAGCCCATCTTACTACAATTCCAAAGATGACATATGTTTCACAGCTCATGCATCCAATTCATGCGAGCCAGGGCACGCGTTTTGGCCAAACAGTCGAACAGAACTGATAGTGACAGAATGAGGCCGAGCAGCCACCCCCAGTAATAGCCGCACGTAGATTGGCTCCTTGGCACTCAAGCACTTCTTCCTTAGACTCAGTCACCGGGCATCGTAACCTGTACTATATTCAGCCAATATGATTATGCCTGGTTCGCAATGCCGACATCGTTCTGAACATGACCTCCGTCTGGTGCTTTACGGATAAAGTCTGATGTACAAGACCCACCGTCGCCGCATCTGACCCAGCGGAATCAGACAGGTCCGTTCTCGGACAACATACATGCAATGAATGACTATATACAAAGGTCAGTTATGTACTCTACTATTCCATGAGCCAACTGTGAGAGCAAGACTCGAACAATATGGGCGCCGAGGTAGGACATATGCCATGCTGCTGATTGTAATAAGTAAGTGCCCCATGCACGGAAAATTTATTTTACAGTCTTCAAGATTGGTATTATTTACAGAGCCTGAATAGGTGGAACGTAAATGCCAGTCACAAGTCTATGGCATGTAAGAAGTACTACTCACGGGGCATGGTCGTCCCTTGTTGCCGCCGCACTAGGTGCACAGATTTGACCTTGTAAAGTATATCAACATTCGAAACGACACGCAAAAGCCTCAGGATGCTGCTCTGATGCTCAGTGATACAACCTGACAAAATCGCATCTAACGGACATACCCATCAAGCTGAACGAACACGTTCAACAAATACTATTCCTTGTGGTCATTCCAACTCTCCGTGCTCCAATATGATCTGCGTCGACGGGCCGAATGAGCGCGTCTGAAAAACACAGACTCTCAATCAGAACTCACGGAGGTAGATCAAGCGCGTTAGCACTAGGATGCACGACTATGATCGGAGATGTATCACTTTGAGTGGTATCCTCCAAACTCAACATGCCGGAACCTATCACGGCCGGAATATCTACGCTTATACTGTTGAACAAACCGCCAAAGCTCACTTCGATATGTAGCGAGTACTGATCCATGTAATGAGAAACGTGGTAACACAGAACCCGACTATGTATGCTTACCTCGCATGTTAGGATGGGGAACCGGAATGACGGAGGACACTTGAACTCAAGGGACGAACTAAAGGAGACAGTCTGCTTCCATCTGCCCTTGCCCTTTTCCGATTCCGAGGGTATCCATTCGTTCTCAGGTGTCTCCATATCTGGATCCCCGGCTGAGCCCCCTAGTCCACCTAACGAACATACTGTATGATTGCTCCACTGGGTCATGCGGTGAGCACGAATGTGTACTCGACGTTTGAGTTCGAATGTTACTTCCCGAGGAGACCGGGGAGGAACGGGCCATAGCTTCTTCTCGCTGTCACGGTCCATCTCCTTGCTTTTCGTAACAATTGTAAGCACGAACGGTACCTTTGTGAAGAGCGGAAATACAGAAATCATCGGGCACATGTACTAGAAAGCGATGGTTAGTTATATCCGCATTTGAGAAATCAGAGCGGCGCGGGATGCACACCTTCATCTCCACAGTTGCGTAGTCTCCCCACAGGCCTTTCCGTATTCTCTTCTCTGCGTACCCGTCTCCCATTGGGCCTCTCCATCCAGCCAAAACTTGAGTTTTGATCCTCTGGCCAATGGAGTCGTGAGGGACAACCGCTAATGGTTGGGATGCCCGCTTGTTCAGGCGCAGCATCCCCGGGCGCACACCAACAGCTTCGACATAATACCGAACAACTGCCCAAGCCCCGATAGTGCTGCAACTGAATGAAGGCGGCAGATCGGCTGGAAGGCGGAACTGAAAAGGGACGACAAGAGCGTGCTGGCCTGGTGACGGGTATATCGATCCTCGGGTCCAAACGGATGTATTCTCCCGCGCGAGCTCCACGAACTGTCTTATAGTCTGATTGTTACGCCTGATGTCTCTGATCGAGGGACAGACGTGTGAGAGGGATGAGGAAGACTAAAGGATGCGACGTACGTGCGTGCATAACCCCTCAGCTTCACATGCACCTCCTCAACTTGTTCCTCGTGTAGGAGGCGGAAATCGAGCTCTACGGTGCCCTTGACTATTCCGCCAGAAACACATACTGTCTGGGGTATGTAGAGCAACATCATGTGCGGTGGCACCATCACGACGCGCTAGTTCACACTGCAGAAGGAGAAGGTATCGCCGCGAGAAAGAGACTGGAAGTAATTTGAGTCAATCAGGCAACACAGTCATAAAGTTATGGCGGTGCTCACCGCAGTCACGTCGAAGCGGAGACTTCCGCTATAGGGTACCAAATTCCAGGGACGACTGAGGGCGGAAATTGAGAGGAGTGGGGCTCTGTCTAATTGGTTCGTATCTTATATGTGCTTGCGGAATGGATTTGGCTGTGTTCAGTCTCGGGACGGATGATCGGGCTGTGAGTCTGCGAGGGGCGAGCAGTTAGGAGCCTCTTCAGGCGATGTGGTCGTAGCGGGCGGGCGTCTCTGGACAACGTCACAGCGGCCTGAGCTTATCCTGCAGGCTGCAGCTACTCTCACCGGGAGGCATGCTAGCTGGATTGTGTGACTTTGAATCGTTGAACGGGCCCGGGAAAGATATCTGTAGATTCCGTAGGCCTCCAGAAGAGGTTCATTACAGCAAGTGCCGCTGGGTAGCTAGTCTGCCGCCGGGTCTGAAGCTTGAAGGTTATGCATGCGGACTGGCAGCTGCGGGCTGTGCGTCTTGACCTTGACTTGTCCGCCGGATGGGAAGATGCTATGGATTCCTGATCACACGACTAATATCGCGTTATGGCGGACATGAATCGCGGTCGTTCACGAGGCCAGCTGTGGAGACTCCATGCAGGCGGCGGGCAGCACGCACCTGAAAGCCTAATAAGCGGGTCCTCCGTGAATGTTGCTGCGACGACCCGTTATCGGGAGGCAGATCCGTTTTCCGACCTGACTGAAATCCAACTGCCGGCACTTTAGCGGCATCTGTACTCATCACTTCTCCACCAGCACAACAACCAGTCTCCCGCGACGACCCTCAACCCCCCATCCCCTTCCTCTTCCTCTTCTCTCCTCTCATTTCCTGCACCCACCTTCCCCTCACCCCCCAGCTGGCATCCCAGCTTAGCGTGCCCACACATGCCATCCATGAGCCTGACATCTCCCCGCCGCAACGACATCAAGCGAATTATCGACGCGCTCGCCCGCCAGGCCATCGAGCTGCAGCAGCAGCGCGGTCTACTCATACGGCTGATCCAAGCCGATCCTAGCTACGTGGTGAGCTGAATTCCACCCTCTCCCGCCTGTCGATTCACAGCGTGTGCCAGGAGGACGTGTTGCGGCACCCACACGGCATGCAGTACATCCTCCAGGCGGACTCAGCACGGTATCAATATACCGACTCAGTGAACAACCTCATTCTCAAAGTGCAGCGTATCGAAGCCTCGCTGGCCCGCATCAAGGAAAAGACGACTGAGCTCCTCCTCCTGATTCCCCCGATAGAGTGTCTGCCCGTCGAGATACTGTCCCTCATCTTCCAGGCTGGCAGCCTCTCTGAACCGAAGGGCGCACTTCCCTTTCCCATGCTCATCGCCTCCGTCTCGCGCCGCTGGCGAAATGTCGCGATCAGCACGCCTACTCTTTGGACAAACCTGCACATCGCGCCGCTCCGCCCATACCGCTGGCCTCATCTCGCACTCGAGCGCTCGCGCAACCATCCGCTCGACGTTTCTCTCGACTTCTGCTCCAAATCTGCGCCGAGCAGCGCTGCCGTCATCGCATCCATGTCCATCGTGTTTCCCCACCGCGACCGCTGGCGCCGTTTTTCCCTTATTGCGCACCACAGAAACGTAGTCCTCATCGTGGGTGAAATGCTAGCAGATGCGCGTTCATATTCCCTGCGCTACCTCCGACTATCGCTCACCGGAAGTGGGCCGGCTGGTAATCAGGAAGTCGCCATTCCTCGGCTGCTCGACGGCGGAGCGCCAGCGCTATCGTCCGTCCGCTTTGATAGCGTCGCTCTCCCATGGCGGAAGCCGCCGCTCGTTGGGTTATCTGCCCTCGACATTCGCTGGCTGTGGTCCCGCAAGCTGGCGTTTCCCCAATTCCAGGACCTTCTCGCCGCATCACCCACGCTGACAAGACTCGTGCTGCGGGGGAAACACGTCGATCTGCGCGCGAGCGGGGATTACACGCCTATAGCTTTACCCCATCTCCGCGATCTGGAGGTATCCGGTGACAATGTGTGCCTGATGTGCTCGCTCCTCGTCCCACCCGTGCTAGAAACCCTCACGCTCGCCAACGTTGACCAGAGCGAGTTCCGCGAGTTCATGGAGTGGCTCCCGGTCTCCGGCGCGCGGTATTCGGCGCTCACCTCTCTCGTACTCTTGAATGTAGCCATGTCTCCGCTCACCCGCGGGTTCATCTCAGCATTCGCTACCATCACAAAATTAGTCATCATCAACTCGGGCGCAGACCGTTTTCTCGAGCTCCTGCGGCCAAAGCAGCCAGTGAACAATGCAAATCCAGACGGTCTTGCCTGGCCACGCCTGAAAGACGTCACCCTCCTGGACGACACCAGTTACGACAAACTGCACGCAATGGTCACCGAGCGAGCCGCCCATGGTCTGCCCCTCCAACGCTTGATTGTGCACACAGAATTCATTCACAGGAATTTGTTGGGCCCGCTCACACGATACGTGAAGATCGATAGCATTACGCACCTCGATCGCGAGCCGTAGGTCCATCCATATGCTACGTCGGCGCACACAGTACGTCAGAAACGGTCCTATATTGCGAGACATACTTTACAACGATGTTACCTGTGTGAAGGTCCATAACCGGCTTGATCTCGAATGACTCAACAGTATACTTCCGCAAAGTCAGCCCTTGCAGCATCCACACCTTGCGCAAGGCCATGCTCTTGAACACTCTGTTAATACGAACGGTAGCGAAGAGCAATTGTAGTCCTCACCAAACTCCCATAAGTTGGCATTGCCTTTCGTCGCTGCATGGTCTTGGGCTCTACGCTTTGCCCATGGCCCCTTGAATCCAAGTTCCGGGACCGAGGTGGCATATTGCTGGGAAGCCTGGGCGAAGAAGATCCATGCATCCTCCCACCCCCTCAGAAAGCCCTCGCTAAACCGCCAATGTTCGTAATTCCCTGGATACTGTGACCAAAACGATGTATGTTCGCCTAAATTATTTGTTGTCGTTACCCTCTCGCTATCGTTGCGCAGCCACTCACCCAACGCTTTGTCTCTTGCGCTATCTCTTCTGTTGACCCGCATAGGGTCGTCTTTGACTGAATTGTTTGCTCTCATGCCCACCCACGCTGGGAACACACCTGCTCCCACTGCATCTCTGAATGACCAGCCTTTGTCTCCAGATTCTTTCTTGTATGTCCAAAAGAACCAGCCCGCACACCACCGATCGTACAACTGCAGTTGCGCATGCAAGTAATCGCGCCTCCCTTGGTCCTCGTCTACACCGTGCAGGGAGCCTGGGTTGAGTCCCCCGCTCCATTCGCCGACAACTAAGCCGCACCCTGCGCCCTGCAGTTTCTGCGACACCCGAGCAAACATTTGTGGCGCCCACGCGTTCGGGTCTGTCAGGGCGCGCGCATGCTCTGTTACGGGGGTGGAGCTGTCCTCGGGTGTAAAGCAGCGGTACAAGTGATGGTCAAGCACGACAAAATCCACGGCAGCCCCACTCAAGAAGTCAGTATATTGATCGGTCATCCAAACGTCGCCGATATAGAGTGGGATGGCTGGATCGATGGTGCGCATGGCGCGGAAGGTGTCCACGTACCATCGCTGCAAGGCGTGGTGGCGGGACTGCGGCTGCGGCTCGTTGAGAAGCTCGATGCCGACCAGATTAGGCAGAGGTGGATTCTGCGAATGGGTGAACGCTGTAAGGTGCAATAGGAGTACGGACAGGATGTGGGTGGTATGCCGCATGTTGTGCGGGTTCGCGAAGAACGTCGGATCGAGGGACGTGCCGGAGTGGGAGTCTGCATTCTGTTTACCTGGAGCGGCATGCAGGTCTACAGCGAAAGGGATGAATGAATGAATGCATGCATGTATTGGCTTGAATCGAGATATGGACTCGTACCAATGAGCACGCCCAAACCATATCGATTAGCCGTCGCGATCGCATTCGTGATCCTTGTCCACGCGCCGGCGAAGACATGTCCGAGGTCTGCGAAATCGGTGCCTTGAAGGACGGATGAGTCTGCTCCGCAGAGATGATAGTAGCCGATCTGTATCGATAGTGTCAGTGCGATCTCATCCTGGAAGCTGGGCTGTACACAGAAAAATTCCTTTGCAAATGACAACGACTGCCTGTTATTTCCGGTCAGTCGGTGCAAGAGTAATCACCCTATCTCTTCGTCCGTGTTCATTCGCACGCGCTGCCAGAGCAAGGCAGCGCAGCAGTCAGATAGGACCGAGCTGATGGATGGGCTGAGACATGCTTCTCTGGGCGGCCCGAGACATCGGTTCATGGCGCCAAGATTGCACATGAGGCGGGCGTCGTTCAGTCCACATGTCGTAGAGCAAGATTCATCTATTACGAGAATGAAGAGTAACGCACATCGATAGAAACGTACCGGGATGCGAACAGTATTGATGCCCCTCTCTACAATCCAGGCCCAGTCACTTTCAGATATCCAAGTATCCCAATGGTGCTCCAGCACGGCCTTCGCGTCAGCGCCGCGCGCGACGTCAAGATCACTCTGGGCAGGGCTAGCAGCAGAACGAAAGGGGCTCTCGGCAATCCAGCGCTCGAGGACAAACCAGGATCCTGTAAAGCATACCAATCAGATCACGATCACGACCAGTGAATCAATCAGCAAGCGAGTGTACGGACCGAGGTTGACTCCCCGCTGCTTGCGGTGACGGTACAGGTCGGTGCTCGTTGGAAAAGGCGTGTTTGTAGGGATCGCAGGCATAGGTGTGTGAGCACCGGACGTGTAGGCTGATGACTGGTGGTTCAAATGGCTCTTTAGGAACCTAGATATCTTGTCCATGGTGGTTGGGTCGAAGACGACTCGATGCCAGTGTATCCACTGTCCAGGTGACGTCGATGGCAGCGCATAGTCAGCTGACGTACAAACCGATCAGATCATAATGGCCATCCGATCGACTCGACAAGATTTTGTAGGCGCGATATGAATGGAGGAAGCACCTATGGTATGACGGTAGGTCGAGTGCGGTTCACTGGTGTAAGTACCACTATAGAGAGGAATGAGAAACTCACTCAATTGAGGTGCGGCCACACACTGGCCCTATGTCTGCTGAGCTGTCCACGACATTGTCGACTTAGCTGACAACAGTAGTTTGGTACAAGGCGCATACATGCTCGAAATTTCCAATAGGTCAGCGCGTCGCAGTGACTTGAAGAGAGGACTAGTGTACAACAAATTTGTGGCCACCATAAAATCTTTGCTCGGTTGACAAGCGCTTATCACGCAGCAGCGACTCGGAGCGAGGGCACCATGACTTCCTATAGCGAGTTGAAAGACGTTGGCAGCCACTGAGGACTCTGCTGTTGCGCAAGCAAGCTGAATGCTGGCATAGAGTATTCCAGTCAAACCGTGTAATCCAATAAATTGTAGCCTACCTGATTTCCTCGTAAGCAGAATGTTTACGAATGCTCTCCTCGACCACATGTACTCAACCCATTGCATGGCGACTATAGGAAAGTCGTATGAGGGCCGACTTGTCCAATCGCAGCTTCGAAGGTGAAAAGTAGCATGTGCGTCGGCGACTATATGCATACCCCGATGAAACGACTTGTCCAGCTTCTGGTGTTTTATTTTAATTTCAAGATATGAGTAGACCTCTACGCTTTGGTTGTGATTTACGGTCGAAGTCATGATTGTCATCGAAGTCGCGCTCGTCTCGCGCCGCGGAGAATTGCCGCGGTGTGTTCGCGGGCGCGAGTCCGTCACACGGCACGTGGGCGTACGCGTCGTGTGACGCAGTCACCCTGACTACTGCAGCAATTTTGGCCGCTGGAGTCTCGGAGTCCCAACCCCTCGAATTATCCGCAGACATCCTCATGCATGTTCGACTGGTGCAGCATTCCGCACGCTTTCTGAATAGACTTCAAGGTGTAAGGATAAAGAGGCAGGTTCAACGACGGAGGGGCTAGGTTTTAGCAGGTGAGCTCTCGTCCAGCGGATTCTCCGCCGTACTCTGGTTTCGTGGCAGGTCTCTACCCGTAGCCATTCCTGACGAGCTGGGACTTAGGTGGGACGTAGAACAATGTTCTTCCTTACTGTCCTGACAGTCTCGCCGCTATTTTCTCCTCTATTCGACCCTGAGGGCAGCGGGTTAACGACCATGCGAGCGCGGACACGACCCTCGTGGCCTTCGTATACTGCGGCGACGTCGGATGATTCAAATTTTGCGCAGTGTGCTAGCGTTCCGTGATGCTTCGGGCTTGCTGCTGTCCGGATTTCTGCTATTGCGTCTACAACTGTATACGATCTCGTCCGTCTTGGCCGTCTACACTGTGTGTATGCTGTGTCAATTATGACCGATCGGACCAAGAGTATGCTATACGCCATGTTTCCACCTCGCGCACGAATGGTCCCATAGGGCTGTGCCCTCTTCTGCTAGTGCCTCCGAGACTTGGAATGTCGGGCAGAGACTCTCGAAACTCCATGAATACATTACTTCATCCGGAGTTGTCGGTGCCAAAGTTCTTTCGTAACATCTAAATTATTATTCTCGGGTATTCTATCCTCTTGTCATTTATTCATTGGTTTGACTCATGCTCTCCGCTATCTCATTCCTTTCCCGTCTCGCCCCGCATATATCGCTTTTTCTGATTTGATGCGTTTTAATTTAGGTCTGGGCCCTTTACAGCCCCCATGTTCGCTATTGGCGGTATCTCGACCATTTGTGCGACATCAAGTGTGCGTCAGGGCCTTGGTCTGGATTCATGGCGATAGCCATTTGGTGGAGTCCGCGTACAACGGGCACGCGCTTACTATGCAGTTCGCGTGCTATGTACGATGGCTGGAGCGTTCTAGCCTCCCTCGCTCTGCCAGTTGCCTAGTATGTGGATTCATCTCCTCAATATGACGCTTGCCCATATCACTTTGATGATGGATAACCACGATCTGTCCATAAACCTTTCGCTACTGTATGGGGCATTCAATATGCCCATCTAAAAGAGCCCAATTTCAATTTGCCTCATATCTAGTGTGGGGATATCCAGATTCGATGTCTCGAGCGTGTTTCATCCTTCTAAGCCTCATGACACAGTTTGGATCTGCTGGGCCACGTTCTGGAGCGTTCTCTCTCGTCGCAACCATGAGGAACGATTTGTCAAACTCTTCCGGATGTACAGGACAATGCATTCGAGTTGTTTGCATTCTATATTTGTTCATTCAGCCTCGTGTCTTCTCACACAAGCAAACCAGGATGTAGTATGTACAGCTTCGATTTCTCGAGTAGCCAAATGTGGAGGTCCCCGAGGATACTAGCCCTCTTAGTAGCCATCGCTGGAGTATTCTAGCTCCCCAACTTCGTAATGCATGGACACAGAAGGTGTGTCATGCATGCATACGCAGCATCTTTACACTGGAGACTAATATTGTACTAGGTATTTTGGTTATTGTCGCGAGCAACGGCGATAATATCCTCAGCTCAATTTTGATTTGGCCTCGTGTTATCGGTGTGTTCACAGCTTGGAGTCGTACCGAGTCTCGCCTTTCCCTGCCGGGCGTTGTGCATCCGCACGGCCATGATAGCCGAGGGCGAAGTTATGCGGCGGGACCTGTCGTGGTCGCTTCATGACATACAAGGATAATTCCGTGCGATCGCCGACAGACACAGTAGTCATTGGCCTTGTATGCACCTTAAGCTTAGGTGCATTCAGCTTTTCTTGGAACTCAGTCTCTGGATATTCATGTGAAGGTTGGCATAAATCTCCTCGCCTGATCCCTGCGTTCTGCATGCTATCCACGATTCTTACTCATGTGATCTGTGGTTGACTCGTTCTACGATGGCTGCATGCGGGAATGTACCGCCTGTTTAGCGGCCAAGCTTCGAAAGATTGCTCGCTCCCTCATGGAAACGGTGTACCCGTAGGTTTCGGCGGCTGTGGGCTCTCGGAAATGCGTTCCTGCTTTACTCTCTGCGCCGGTCCCAGAGCTTCGAGACCCCTTGCCTAGATCCTTCGCGTCCAGACTGATGCCGTCGCGTGTATGTCGGGGCCTTGGATTCGCTATGGGTCTTCGCTATGATCTCCCCGCCCGTGGTTCTGGCTTCTGGTGGTTGGAGTATGGAGTGAGCGATTCTGTCTCTCATAGGATGTCGATGTGCTTTACTCAGCCATCGACTCGACTGTGGCCCTTGAGCGCAAGGCCTCGAACCAATCTATCAAGGCGAGCGGACGGACTACCAAAAGGACATCAGCTTCTACCTGATGCGCTTTCGACTGCTTCTACGGCGCTGGCTCCACCCTGCGAGTCGGGTTCAGATTC